GTTCTACAAAGAGGATGTTAGTGTGGTTTGTTGAGCAGCAGTTCTGCTGTCCTTTGCTGTAGAGCCTAAATTTTATACATGAATAAATGAACAAACTAGCAAATGTGTTTTTTTTTTTTGTGTTTATTTGAAACATCTGACTTCTTTGATTATTTAACTTTCTGATCAGTGTAACAGTTGTAGAAAACCTATTCTGTATGTATTAAAACAGTTATCAAACACTTGAAGCCCTTTTGAGAGAAAAATATTGATAAAGCCTCTTTCAAGCAAAAGTATCTCTAATGATTTTGCTATGAGGAAACCACAGATACATCTAACTTTCATTTTGTGCTTTGATTGATATCACAAGGATTTATATCTAAATATAGATTTTTTTTCAGTTGTGAAAGGATCATAGTTGTAACAAATCAATGGTACCCTAAATGGAATGCTTTTTTTAAAATTAGTCACTTCATTAAAATAATTAAGAAACATTCAAGGTAATTTAAACTGTTTCCTTCATACCATTGAAGCTTTTACAGTTACTAAGTCTAAGTATTGAGTTTCATATTTACAATATACACTCTGTACTTAAATAGTATTTTACAGATTTTGATATATTGACCGATAAGCAGCCTGGTATTTTGTATTTTTTAACTCACCAGTATAGTTTCTAAATGCTGTAGCAAAGATATGAAAAGTGCTCCATTTTTGGTAGTATCACATAACCTAAACCATTTCAGTATGTTTGATGAAACATTTGGCTAAACTGGTTCTGTATGTTTGGTGAAATAAACGGCTAACTGATTTAGTATGTTTGTTGAAACATTGCTAAACTGGTTCTGTATGTTCAGTGAAATGTACGGCTTAACTGATTCTGTATGTTCAGTGCAACATATGGCTTAACTGATTCTGTATGTTCAGTGAAATATATGGCTTAACTGATTCTGTATGTTCAGTGCAACATACGGCTTAACTGATTCTGTATGTTCAGTGAAACATACGGCTTAACTGATTCTGTATGTTCAGTGAAACATATGACTTAACTGATTCTGCATGTTCAGTGCAACATACGGCTTAACTGATTCTGTATGTTCAGTGAAACATATGACTTAACGGATTCTGTATGTTCAGTGAAACATATGGCTTAACTGAACATGGCTAAACTGATTCTGTATGTTCAGTGTAACATATGGCTTAACTGATTCTGTATGTTCAGTGTAACATATGGCTTAACTGATTCTGTATGTTCAGTGTAACATATGGCTTAACAGATTCTGTATGTTCAGTGAAACATGGCTAAACTGATTCTGTATGTTCAGTGAAACATGGCTAAACTGATTCTGTATGTTCAGTGAAAGATACGGCTAAACTGATTCTGTATGTTCAGTGCAACATACGGCTTAACTGATTCTGTATGTTCAGTGAAACATATGGCTTAACCGAACATGGCTAAACTGATTCTGTATGTTCAGTGTAACATATGGCTTAACTGATTCTGTATGTTCAGTGTAACATATGGCTTAACTGAACATGGCTAAACTGATTCTGTATGTTCAGTGAAACATGGCTAAACTGATTCTGTATGTTCGGTGAAAGATATGGCTAAACTGGTTCTGTATGTTCAGTGAAATGTACGGCTTAACTGATTCTGTATGTTCAGTGCAACATATGGCTTAACTGATTCTGTATGTTCAGTGAAATATATGGCTTAACTGATTCTGTATGTTCAGTGCAACATACGGCTTAACTGATTCTGTATGTTCAGTGAAACATACGGCTTAACTGATTCTGTATGTTCAGTGAAACATATGACTTAACTGATTCTGCATGTTCAGTGCAACATACGGCTTAACTGATTCTGTATGTTCAGTGAAACATATGACTTAACGGATTCTGTATGTTCAGTGAAACATATGGCTTAACTGAACATGGCTAAACTGATTCTGTATGTTCAGTGTAACATATGGCTTAACTGATTCTGTATGTTCAGTGTAACATATGGCTTAACTGATTCTGTATGTTCAGTGTAACATATGGCTTAACAGATTCTGTATGTTCAGTGAAACATGGCTAAACTGATTCTGTATGTTCAGTGAAACATGGCTAAACTGATTCTGTATGTTCAGTGAAAGATACGGCTAAACTGATTCTGTATGTTCAGTGCAACATACGGCTTAACTGATTCTGTATGTTCAGTGAAACATATGGCTTAACCGAACATGGCTAAACTGATTCTGTATGTTCAGTGTAACATATGGCTTAACTGATTCTGTATGTTCAGTGTAACATATGGCTTAACTGAACATGGCTAAACTGATTCTGTATGTTCAGTGAAACATGGCTAAACTGATTCTGTATGTTCGGTGAAAGATATGGCTAAACTGATTCTGTATGTTCAGTGTAACATATGGCTTAACTGATTCTGTATGTTCAGTGTAACATATGGCTTAACAGATTCTGTATGTTCAGTGAAACATGGCTAAACTGATTCTGTATGTTCAGTGAAAGATACGGCTAAACTGATTCTGTATGTTCAGTGCAACATATGGCTTAACTGATTCTGTATGTTCAGTGAAACATATGGCTGTTTTGTAAAAATAATGTAAACATTATATTTTACAACAATTGCAAAATAAGCTTTAAGCTTACATGAATTCCATTTTGTCGGCTTGGATGGAATTGTGCAAGGAGTCTTATTGTGGGAGGAAACTAGAGTACCCATGAAAACCCATGGTTGGGTAGGTGGCCCATTCCCTTTTAACATTCTTGCTGGGAATTGAACCCTGGACACCTAGGTGAGAGGTGAGTGTGTTATCACTGCACTTCTTGACCACACATAGCTTAACTGGTTGTATGTTGGGTGAAACCTATGGCTAAGCTGGTTGTATGTTGGGTGAAACCTATGGCTAAGCTGGTTGTATGTTGGGTGAAACCTATGGCTAAGCTGGTTGTATGTTGGGTGAAACCTATGGCTAAGCTGGTTGTATGTTGGGTGAAACCTATGGCTAAGCTGGTTGTATGTTGGGTGAAACCTATGGCTAAGCTGGTTGTATGTTGGGTGAAACCTATGGCTAAGCTGGTTGTATGTTGGGTGAAACCTATGGCTAAGCTGGTTGTATGTTGGGTGAAACCTATGGCTAAGCTGGTTGTATGTTGGGTGAAACCTATGGCTAAGCTGGTTGTAAGTTGGGTGAAACATATGGCTAAGCTGGTTGTATGTTGGGTGAAACCTATGGCTAACTGGTTGTATGTTGGGTGAAACATAGCTAAACTGGTTCTGTATGTTTGGTGAAACACTTAACTTGTTCTGTGTTTGGTAAAACATGAGGCTAAACTGGTTCTGTGTATGTGATGAAATGCTAACCTAGCACTATGTTTGGTGAAATATATAACTGGTTTTATCTATTTGGTGAAACATATTTAAAACTTGTTCTGTATTATCAGTTTTAAATGCTGAATTGGTTATGGACATGAATGTTCAGTTAAATGCTGTGCAGTGAAACATACATCCAACTAGTTCTGTATGTTTCGTAAAACATGTTTAAACCAGTTCTATATGTACACTACATCCAGTATTATCTAATAGTTACATGGAAATATTAGTTTTTATAGGTGATTGATAAACTGCACATCTCTATGTTTCTGTGTTTACTACAGCTGCTGATGCACTGTATAGAATTGTAGATATCATTATTCTGTACTGTATGAACTCTCACCTTGACTTTTGTAACATATATGCGAGCAGTAGACAGCAACCTATAAAACTCAACTTTAACCTGTTGTAGCAAGTAATACCTGAGTTAACGAGTTAGGAACAAGTTTATATCGTTATCAAATTTATTCCATTCTTTTGATAGTAGTGAGTGCGCTCTGGGACTCTACTGTGCTGTTTATCCCACCTAACTAGTGTCACTTAATATATTGGCCGTCGGATGGTAATCAGCCGAGGTTTGGGGATCATTTATTATTTATCCTCATTTGCATAAAACATTTGTTTAATTTTTATGGCAGTAATATGAAATAAAAGTCATTTATCAACAGAAATGCATTTTGTACATTCCATTTTCTTGGTTGAATAGATAATGCTGTGTTTATAAACTTGTTTTGTGACAATCTCCTGCTGGGATGAATTATACCACATCAACAGTTATCATTTATCTAAATACCACCGAGGGTGTAACAAAACAGCTACGACCAGACTGGGATTCTAACCCATAATAAAAACACACATATATACCACGAGTCTACCTTTCCTTGGCTTATTTGGTTGTGCTCCAAATGTAACAGAACATGAAAACAACACTAACCAGACCAGGTTTATATCCTGTGTGAGAAGTTTACATTGATATGCCTTAATAGAAAATGTTTTAAGTGTGCTGGGCAGAATCAGCACACCCAACCATGACAGTCTGTGTAAGCCTTGTGGGAAACATTTCAACTGTTGTAAAAAAGTTCTCATGTATTTCAACAGTAGTAAACAAAAACATTTGTATTGATTCTGATGATATTTTTTTTTTTCAGTTGTAAGGTCCATTAAGTTGAGATATTGTTCAAGTTTTAGGATAATGGCTGAAGACTTAATCTGCCAATGTCATTTCCTAGCTTTACAGAGGAGATTTAGTACTGGTGTTTATCTGTCCTGTTGCATCTAATTCTATTGTCAATGTATCAATTATTCCTCAAATAAGTTTGTGTGAAGACTTCTAGATTTAGTTACCTTTATAGAACAGTATCAACCAGTTATGATATCACAACAGTGATTTCATCTCTTGAGGGATTTTAACTAACGTAGAAACTTTGTTCTAATGTCAGTGGCACAAGATGTATAGAAAGTTATCAAACAATGATATTAACTTGTATTTGAATGATGGCATTCATTTCTTACAAACCTTTTCTTTTTTAGGATTTGTTTGATATGTATTCAGTTATAAATGAATCTACAAGATAGACATATCTGATATACTGTAATGTATGATCTAATGATATACTTGCATTACTCTCCATTTCTGTATTATCAGGCCCCCGGCCCAGCTCCAGTCTCGGTACAGCCAACTCCCCAACATCAACACACCACGAGATGGACAGCTGGTCCCCATTCAGGCCCGCAAGTCCAGTCCAGGGTACCTCAATTCCGTTGACAATGAAAGTGACGAACGTCTTAGACAGATGGAGGTACGGCTCTCGGTGGCAGAAAAGTCCAATCGAGCTCTCCTGGAGGAGGTTTTACGACTTCAAGGGGACATAAAATCATCTTCGCGTAGGAATGAAGACATCCTTAGGGATGAAAGAAACTCCAGACAGAATCTGGAGTCTGCCATTAAAATAAGCAATGAACTCATATCTCAGCTAGGAACACGAATCAAAGATGCAGAAGAAAAATTACAAGACGAAAAGTCTGCATTGTCTTCCCTTGTCAATCACACAAAAGGTGTGGAACAAGCCGTGAAGAGCAGTCAGAATGAGCTTCTAACCAAGAGAGATCTTCAGTCATCCAAGTAAGTTGAAGTAGTTCTGTAGTCTGTTATGCTGATAAATTCGGAACTTAGGTGGAAAATTTTTTAAGAAATAAGACTTTTTCTAAATTGTTAAATTTTTTAAAAATGTGCTTATCTGTAGTATTTTCCATGTGGTGTGAAAACTTGATTATGTTATATCTCATGTACTTTATTTAAATGCAGGCAGTAAAATGTTACATGGTATAGCTCTCTATGGGACAAACTTTGCCAGTTTAATTTTGATCATGCACTCTTATGGTGAAATAGCAGAAACATGACATTTTTTAAAATCCCTTTTATACTGTAAATTGAAATTCTGTAGTTTGGAAAACAAGATAAATTCAAGAACTTATAAGTACCATGTAGAGAGCTAGACGAGACAACGGCTTGTCTGTGATTCATCATCACATCAGGTGCATTTAAAAATCTGGAGCATTTCATCAAAGTGATAAAAAAATTTCTCTCAATGTCCTATTATATCAAGTAAAACGTCATAGGTTGATTTAAAATGTAATATGACGCAGATTTAGAAAAAAAAATATTGATATTTTCATTTCTTTTTCAAGCACTGTGCACCACTGGCATTTTGTTATCTTATCAAATGAGACAAAGTCTTACAATTCTGTTTTCTTTATCTTCATAACTTTGACAATTTTTGTAGGATATCAGAAATGCGTGTTGACTTGGATGAAGTTTTACAAGCAAAGTCCCAACTAGAGCGAGTCGCCTTCCAGCTAGCTGATGACATCCGTGCCTTAAAAATGAAGGTGGAATCACAAGCCTCGGACTTTTCTACAGTATCTGGGGATTTAAAAAACAAATCTAAGAAATTAGAGGATGAAAATCGAGCACAGGTATGCAACTACGTCCTCCCATCAGTGTTGATTTCGGTCGTATACTGAGAGTTATAACTTGTCGGTGGAAACCATAAAGAGCTTAGCAGTAAGATATGATAGGGATAATATGAGGATGAAGCATGCATCTAATCCTTATTATTTAGTGTAATCCATGTTCCTCAAAGTGAAACTGATTAAAATAGATAGAAGCCATCTCCATTGCCATGAAAAGTTTTGCTTAAATATCATCCTGGTTTTTTTTATTATCATTATTTCAAAAGGAAAATTAAAATTTTCATCTATCCTTCTACTATGTTGATAAACTTGTATTTCAAGGTCAAACTTCTATAAAATTTTGAATGCCCCCTCCTTGAAATTACTGATGGACATATAAAACATTTCTTGTCTCCTTGTCTGTCAGATTATCAGATTTTATACATGACAGACGTGAGGGCAAGCTAGTTGGACCAAATGTATAAGCATAAAAGACAAGACAAAAGATCAGCTATGATTGAAATTGGCCGTTTGTTAATATATAAACGACGCACTTGAAACATAAGAGTTTCAAGCTTTAACAACAAATTTGACATCAGAAGACATTTGGTCCTAGGTGGGGATAAAATACGCCACCATGGTGTTCTAACAAATTAAAAGTAATTTTTAGAACAACATATTTTATTTACATTAACTCACAAAAAAAACACCTGATATTTCAGTTGTTCATTCACTAGTATCTGATAAATGAAACAAAACAAAATTTGAGTTTGATTATGTAAATTTCTCTAACAAGGTATCAGAGAATAAAGCACAGTTATATTCAAGTAGTTCACAACACGATTCTTCCTGCAACTTTTTTTAACAACTGTGAATGCCATGACAGGATAGTTCAATTACTGAGATAAGCTATGATACTCCAAGTATTGTAAACAGGTCCATATATATACTATAACCTATCAACAAATGTAAACAGATCGGCAGTAATGTCAACACGGATTGTTATCATATCTTATCATGATATTGAAAGTAGAGATGGATAAGTTTACATGTTACAAATATTGGTCTTATGTAGAGAATGGCACAATATCATGTTTACAGTAGGGTAGTATACAACATATCAGTTATACTGTCCAATCAATGACCAATAAAGGACAAACACACCTTAGTGGACATAATGTCCAATTTTGCTTCAGGATGTAATGGTACGTCTGTTGTTAGACCACACAGTACATTAAACGGTATTTTAAACTTACCACATGTTTCATGTAACTAAGCCACCTCACTTGATATCTCCAAAAACATGCTTGTCTGCTTTAGGTTGAGGATATGCAGTAGGATTACTTTAAATTGTCTTTGGTAGTGCCCTTTCAAGTGAATGTCACATCACAGACACTGTCGCATTATAGCTATGACCAATCTATTTGCCACCTTAGTTATTGAAAGTTACTGGACGTGACCCCTGTTTCATGGTTGAATTAACAGCAACTGACTTTCATTTGATTTATCAAATGTATTCAAGAAATTTCAACCTTAAAATGAAGTATCATACTCAATCAATGTATCAACAAAACATTGTCACATCTGTGAGGTAGAGTCTGTAGTCTGACAGTGGCCTTAACTAGTATGACAGTCTGTAGTCTGACAGTGGCCTTAACTGGTATGACAGGGTCTGTAGTTGGACAGTGGCCTTAACTGGTATGACAGGGTCTGTAGTCTGACAGTGGCCTTAACTGGTGTGACAAGGTCTGTAGACTGACAGTGGCCTTAACTGGTATGACAAGGTCTGTAGCCTGACAGTGGCCTTAACTGGTATGACAGGGTCTGTAGTCTGACAGTGGCCTTAACTGGTATGACAGGGTCTGTAGTCTGACAGTGGCCTTAACTGGTGTGACAAGGTCTGTAGACTGACAGTGGCCTTAACTGGTATGACAAGGTCTGTAGCCTGACAGTGGCCTTAACTGGTATGACAGGGTCTGTAGACTGACAGTGGCCTTAACTGGTATAACAGGGTCTGTAGCCTGACAGTGGCCTTAACTGGTATGACAGGGTCTGTAGTCTGACAGTGGCCTTAACTGGTATGACAAGGTCTGTAGACTGACAGTGGCCTTAACTGGTATGACAAGGTCTGTAGACTGACAGTGGCCTTAACTGGTATGACAGGGTCTGAAGACTGACAGTGGCCTTAACTGGTATAACAGGGTCTGTAATCTGACAGTGGCCTTAACTAGTATGACAGGGTCTGTAGCCTGACAGTGGCCTTAACTAGTATGACAGGGTCTGTAGCCTGACAGTGGCCTTAACTAGTATGACAGGGTCTGTAGCCTGACAGTGGCCATAACTGGTATGACAGGGTCTGTAGTCTGACAGTGGCCTTAACTAGTATGACAGTCTGTAGCCTGACAGTGGCCTTAACTGGTATGACAGGGTCTGTAGCCTGACAGTGGCCATGACTGGTATGACAGGGTCTGTAGCCTGACAGTGGCCTTAACTGTATGACAGGGTCTGTAGCCTGACAGTGGCCTTAACTGTATGACAGGGTCTGTAGCCTGACAGTGGCCTTAACTGTGGGATGGAGTCTACTGACTGGTGGTGACCTTAAATACGGGGCACATAACCTGACAGAGACCTAATTTGTGTCCAGGTCTAGTCTTGCTAATACAGCATGTATATTGTGTGTATAAACTACAGCAATAACAATATGAAGGCAGGCCATGGTATACCCAGTAATTATTCTGGTGTGACAGTATTTATTGTGTCTTCACTTTATATTGTGGCAAACTTGTTTCATTCTTATCTTTATTATAATACAGGAAGTACCTGTGGTTGATAAAGTATGAAGTGTTCTGTTCCCTGCTTGGAATAATTCTGACTTTCCATTGACATTTTTTTATAGCTCTGGTTCATCAATGCTAGACTAATGTGAGGACTTTGATCAAACATCAGAGTACAAGTTCTCAAAACAACAACTATTGTTATATGACTACCTTATTTCTTTTGAATACAGATGATAACGATATGACAGAGATTTCTTTTTTATATTTTAACTAGATTAACTCCATTAGTTTATTTCTTTGTGTTTATTTTTGTCACTGCATGCAGGAAGAGCAGGTAACTGTGTTGTGTTAAGCCATATATCTAGCTCATTTCAGAAGAGTTCTGTGTAGTTGTCTCCCTTACATACTTGTCATTCCTGACCTCATCCTCATCCATTCCCCCCTCCCCCCTTGCTGGAGTATGTAAGATCTTAGTTGTCCTGGTATACATCAATTCAAACACAGGAACAATAAGGCAGTGCTAAAAGATGGAATAAGGTAGTTGTATTGTGGATAGCTTGCTTATGTTTTTCTATACCTTGGGCTGGAGTTATTTTCTCTTTCATGAACACAAAAATTAAATTTGTACTTGTGTGGTTCTATCATATTCCATAGACACAGACACTATTACTTCATGCAATATTTTCCTCTGATGAAAATGGCTCCCCTTCTAAATTTACACATATTTCTGCCATTTAATATCATTTGTAGTAGCCTTGCTGTCCAAACTCATTTACTTACTGATAAGCCTTTGTAGTCTTTGTGACACATTTCATCACTTACAAATGACAACCTCCTAATCTCTGTCACATTTCTGTAGGATATTTTATCATCCTGGTTTATCTCCCTTGTTTCAGATCATAATAAACTTGTTATAACGATGTTGTATACTCTCTCCAGTAAGGATTTGTGTGTTAATGCTTCAGATTTATATTATTTAAAAAGTTTTCAATGATTTTTGGTTGATAGAGACACTGTCCATATCTGTAGATTAGAGTAGTCTCAAATATATATCCACTACCATTAGTGAAAATTCTACTTGATCAAAAACAGCTTTTAAATTCTCTACAAGTCTGCGAAAATTCTTTGCTTATATTTATGTAATCAGTTCTATGCTTTTGATTTTGTTTACTTTATGATGTCTTTATTTATAAATTTTCCTAAATCTATAATTAGTAACATCTCTCAGTTAATAAGTAGCAACATAGCTTTAAATCATTTGATACCATTTTCTGTGGAATTCCTCTCCTTAGAAATGCCTGTATGCTTGAAGGGCAGGTTCAATTTCTGGTAGATCAGATTATTTTGGAGTATTAGGCCTGAAATGATTGAACCCTATGTTCCCATGTTGGTCCTGTGCTGGCTTTATTCCAGGGAGTTGTTTGTGAGTGTGAGGTCAATGATATAATATTTGAACCCTGATGTTCTGGTAGATGCAGGTCACAATGAACTGCAGGAACTTAACTTGAGGTCTGGAATATTTGAACCCTTGATTGCTAGCTATTTTTGCAGTTTTATAGGTTCTGTACAATTATCTAGTAAATCTACAAATAGTTTTTAAAGTTAGAACAAGAAACCAGAAGCTCAGAACATTATAATCCACAAGATTTAAACTTTACACACTACGACATTGGAGGTGTCACCTTCTGTTCTATTTAATGTACTGGCTAAATGATAATCATGATATCACCAGGGTTATACTGCAAAGCCTCAAAGGTGTTGAACTAATGTAAACTTGTGTTTTGTTTGATGTGGAATTCAATGAATTGAGTCATGTATAAAGTGGAAATCCTATATCTGTATCTTGATCTTGATTTTATATACCTTACCTGCTGTAGGTTGATAAGTTTTTGTATGAATTACAGCTGGATGCCCTCAGAAAACATACCTCTTTACAGTCCCAGTCTGAACAGCAGGCCAATCTCCTTAGAGGCCAGGTAGAAACAAGGTATGTACCTCTATCAAATAAAAAATTTAAATTTTAAAACTGCTTTGATAAAATCTACTGGATCTATTGCCAGAAAACATGTTAAATTCAGAACTGTTAATAAGAATGAATTACTTCATTTAGAAAGACCTTGAAATATAAGAGAAAAGAAAACCTGAAAAATCAGGGGAGACAACTTAAGTTTTATTACTGCAGCTGAACAGATTATCATTTATTGTATTTAATGTTGTTTTGACAGATTGACAGAACTACGCGATGTCTTGGTGGATGTACGATCAAAACAGGAAAATGAAGTTGTTGAACGTCGATCACTTGAACAAAATATGCAACAAAAGTGAGTGAAACCTTAACTATAATTATCACATGAGGGAAAGCAACGTAGATATAGTAAGGGCCATGTTTTGGTTACTGTTAAGATAACTACTTGTATGACCATTAAGGTTATAAAAATCTCGTTTATTCTGAAAGTAAGACATCAGTGTTTTTGTTTGTATATCTGTAGAATCAACGAGCTACAGCAGTCTCAAGCAGAGGCAAACCGAAAGAGAGAGGAGACTGTCCATTCGATGGACATGGTGCTACGTGAACGCGAACATGCCACACAAGCTGACCGACTGGCCCTGACTACCAAGGTTGCTGACACAGTGGAGGACCTCAACAAGAAATTAATGGAGAAAGACATTAAAATTAGAGGGGAGGTCCAAGACAGATACCTCCAATTAGAACGGGTCAGTGTCATCATGTCTGAGGACTCATGTCAATTTGAAAAGGCGAATCTTGATGAACTTTGAATATTGCTTGAAACAATGTGTGTTATGTATACATGAACATGCCTACATGCAGTCAAAAAGTTAGATTATCAGATACATATTTGTTATAAATTTTTTCAGATTTTAATTCCTATACAGGCAAGGATCCTTCAGGAGATTTATTGACTACTCTTCAATCACTACTCTACAATACTTTTTATTTATATGTATAAGGCTGTGTTATTTTATAATATATGCTGTTTTGTGTCTTTATAAATATATTGGAATAAGTAAAGATTATCCACAATAACTTTAATGGTGTTTGACCAAACTTTACTGGGTAAATGTTTATGGTTTAATTTGGTTGTGTGTATCAGGTCCTTCAGCAAGACCAGAGTAACCGTCGCGAGTATGAACGGGCCACGCGTGACGAACTGGAGAAGAGACTTGTCACACTGAAGAAGGTTCAAGATGAACAGGCTGTCGAGATTAAAGAACTAATGAAGGTCAGTGTGGACAGGGTTTTCTGTTGTGATGTAATAATGACAATAAAGATGAATGGTAATTCTAAATCTAGCAATCATGTATATATTACTGCTGTTCTGACTCTCAATCTACACAAAAAGTCCATACACCAAATCTGTAAAAGTGTACCTTCTGAAGGTCAGGAAACTTTACACAGGATACAAACATGTATTAATAGATACGAGCAGTGGCAAGCAGGACAAAATACCTGAAAAGATGAACTCTACTTCTTTATATCTATTCTTGTACAAATGTACTAGTCGAAGACCTGTTTTGAATTTCAGACTGAGAAAGGGAAGACGAAAAACACTCTAGGAAAGCTAGACGACTCCATTACCATTCTTGAGAAACAGGTGTTAGAGACTAAAAAGTCTTTTGAGAAGGTTATGGCAGCTGAGATCAGTCAAAGGTGTGTATGTATGTAGATCTCTGTATTGTAATTGTATCACCTTGATATGTTAAATCAACTGTCATATTTTAGTTCCAAGTTTGAAATTTGAATAGAGCTTGATGTCACATAATCATTGGTCCTAAATTTCTCTAATAGTATGAGAGGTAGACACCTATTGTTGGAGTTCCATGAGTTTGGTTGGCAGATTTATCTGTAGGCAGTAAACAAAGTTTGTGAAAAAAGTTATCAATATTATCAGATAAGAAAGATCGAAATATGCTAATCATCATTCGTTCAGAAATATTATCTGAGGCAAGTCCTTTTTATACGCAGTTGCGATGTCACAAAGCTTTTGTAGAAACAGACTCATAACCTTTCTTTTGACCACTTTCTTATGATTACAGGAAGATACATGAAAGAGACACCACAGAAAAAATTGGCAGTGTCAATGAAAAACTGCAGATAGCGACCTCTACACTGCAGCAGTCTATAGGGGGAATAACTCACACCACTAACAACCAGCATGACAAAGTAAGGGATGCTTCTGTATGATCAGTGTACAGATGGCAGTCACTATGTAATATATTCACATGTAGATTTACAAGCTCGGGCAAAATGTTCTTATATAAGGCAAATACTGATAATGATGTCAGATCTTCATAATTTAAATGGAAGGAAATAGTGTTCTCTCATGCTGAAGTGAAAAAGTGCACCCATATTACGGTAGTATGTAGTGTACTGACAACACTTGTAAATCATCATGTGGAATTTTTCACTATCACTCTACACAATTTCGTTTCCAAAATGATGAAACTTTTCTAATTCACTCTAAAATATGCTTTCATCTCTTAATTAAAAAAAATTCACTTCTGATGAAATGCCTAGTTGAAGAAATTTATGTCCAAACACTAGAAAAGAATGTCAGACAAAGTCCTATAAGGTAGGAGGTATTGTTTACTTCTCTGCCATGTATAATGTCTGTTTGCAGCCTCTTAAATACAAAATCAAATTATCTGAAACATTCAGAAATGGACTTAAATGGTTTGGAAAACTTGTATAAAAACAATATTTGACTTTCAGCTTCGCCGGGAAATGCGTACCTTGTTAGCTGAACAGAAGGAGGGTGCAACCAGGAGTCTTACTGACCTGGATGCCAGAATGAACTTCACGAAAAATCGAATGAATGATTTGGAAGAGAAACTGGAAGCTAAAGTGGCCTCTGTAAGTTATAACAGCACATATATACAGTGGTTACATGTTTATGGCGGTCATTGTCATTGTAAGAACATTTCACTCAGTATATCTCTACCATTAACAGGACCTACACAGCATCATGTCTGTAAATTTCTACATTAATACTAACATGTACATTTCCATTTTTTTGTTCAAAGTCTATTGCTAAGAATGAAGAGGTAATATTGTTATATGTATTTTATGTAGGTTAATTTCATTGTTCACATTTTGTAGATTAAGCTTTAAATATTTACTTTGTCGCAAAATATTTCTTTAGACTCTTGGCAGTTTTTCATATACATTTTTCAAATATCTTACGGACATATACAGTGATTAGGGAAATGTCTTACTGACATATAGAGTGGTTAGAGAAATGTCTTGATATATTCAGTGATTAGGGAAATGTCTTACTGACATATAGAGTGGTTAGAGAAATGTCTTGATATATTCAGTGATTAGGGAAATGTCTTACTGACATATAGAGTGGTTAGAGAAATGTCTTGATATATTCAGTGATTAGGGAAATGTCTTACTGACATATAGAGTGGTTAGAGAAATGTCTTGATATATTCAGTGATTAGGGAAATGTCTTACTGACATATAGAGTGGTTAGAGAAATGTCTTACATATTCAGTGATTAGGGAAATGTCTTACTGACATATAGAGTGGTTAGAGAAATGTCTTGCTGACATATTCAGTGATTAGGGAAATGTCTTACTGACATATAGAGTGGTTAGAGAAATGTCTTGATATATTCAGTGATTAGGGAAATGTCTTACTGACATATAGAGTGGTTAGAGAAATGTCTTGCTGACATATTCAGTGATTAGGGAAATGTCTTACTGACATATTCAGTGATTAGGGAAATGTCTTACTGACATATTCAGTGATTAGGGAAATGTCTTACTGACATATAGAGTGGTTAGAGAAATGTCAGTGATTAGGGAAATGTCTTACTGACATATTCAGTGATTAGGGAAATGTCTTACTGACATATTCAGTGATTAGGGAAATGTCTTACTGACATATAGAGTGGTTAGAGAAATGTCTTGCTGACATATTCAGTGATTAGGGAAATTTCTTACTGACATATTCAGTGATTAGGGAAATGTCTTACTGACATATTCAGTGATTAGGGAAATGTCTTACTGACATATTCAGTGATAAGTGAAATGTCTTGATATATTCAGTGATTAGGGAAATGTCTTACTGACATATTTAGTGATTAGGGAAATGTCTTACTGACATATTCAGTGATAAGGGATATGTCTTACATATCCAGTGATTCGGGAAATGTCTTACTGATATATTCAGTGATTAGGGAAATGTCTTACATATTCAGTAATTAGGGAAATGTCTTACATATTCAGTGATTAGGGAAATGTCTTACATATTCAGTGATTATATTCAGAAATGTCTTGATATTCAGTGGGAAATGTCTTACATATTCAGTGATAAGGGAAATGTCTTACATATTCAGTAATTAGGGAAATGTCTTACATATTCAGTGATAAGGGAAATGTCTTACTGACATTTATTGATTAGGGGAATGTCTTCATTATTGGCATGTTCTTTGATTGTCTTTCTGACTTATTAATGACTAGGAAATGTCTTATAAACGTGTATTTGACAGATATAAATGGTGAAGGAAGAAATGTCTTATACTATATAACAAGATAAAAATATTATACACAAGATGTTTCATGTGACTGGAATTCAGTAACTAATGGACACATAGAGTAAATATAAATAACTAGGCTATGTCACTCCACTTATATGTATAATAAGACTGTGTATTTTTGTGACAAGATGTCAAGTCTGCTTCCTGTACAGAAACAACATTTTAAATGCTTTTTTGTTGATCTTTGTTCTTAATATATTCATGAAGCAAAAATTAGATTAGCCACATTCTGGATGTATGTAAATACATGCTGAGTGATATACTATTTAATATTAAGTATTCAAACTCTGGTGCTCATAGATGTGTACTGATATCTAGCTCCAATCATTGTATCCCATTTTATATGTACAGAACAGCTCTGTTACTGTCATGTTTTTTCTATTGATATTTTTATGTGAACAAATTTCAGTACGTCGTTACCAGATAAAGTTTGAATCGTAAGGAGTGTAGTGAAATTCTCCCGAGTTTTGAGAGCAGAATGAACAATATTCCTGCTAATAGACATTCGTTATTTTGAATCTTTGTATTTTTACTTTACAGAAATCAGAGGTATATAGACTGTATGTAGTGGTATATATGTATTATCACAGTGCTTTTAACCAATATTTAGATGATAAATTAGATTCTTTTCTCTATCATTAACATATTGTTGTTGTTCTTAGATCTTTTGTACGAATTTTATAATCGAAAATCTTACGTGACATTAGACCTGAATGGTTTTGAGATGAAATATGTGTGTATGTTAAAGAGGGTATCTTACAGCAGTGTCCAGGTCATATTGAATTGATAAACTTTGGCCAGTTATATATAAGCTCAGAGGGCAAGACAATCGTCTGACATGACTTAATTATGACGTCACTATAGTGGTATGACATGTGTCATGCAATTTTCATGACATGAGCATATTACATGGTTGAACAGGTTTGTTATTTAGAATTAATTGAACTCTTTTGTAATATATTGTAGACCAGAGTAGAAATTTGTTGCTTTATGATGAATTCACATCAATATTTTTAAAAAAGAATTTAATAAAAACATTCTATAATCTTTATCTATCTCACTTGTATCGTTGTCAACATATTGATGTGAAATTTATCTGTAGAGTTGAAAACTATGAAAGTTTCATTAAATTTGCTTTAATTAAGGTTTATTATGTAGAATAAACAGATTATGTCCTGTACTTTCATGTTTCAAAAATATTGTTAAAGTTTCATTAAATTTCACTTTAACTTAGATTTCTTATGTAGAATATACAGATTATATCCTGTACTTTCATGTTTCAAAAATATTGTTAAAGTTTCATTAAATTTCACTTTAACTAAGATTTCTTATGTAGAATATACAGATTTTGTCCTGTACTTTCATGTTTCAAAAATATTGTTAAAGTTTCATTAAATTTCACTTTAACTAAGATTTCTTATGTAGAATGTACAGATTTTGTCCTGTACTTTTATGTTTCAAAAATATTGTTAAACAACGATCAGACCACCAATAGCAACTGGTTGTATAGAGTATAGACTACTGAAACTGATTAAGTTCTACTGGTGTAATACAAATATGTTTTGTATTGCTTTTTACTACCATACCAGGAGGCTGAACAGCGAGAGGTACATAGCACCTTATACCATGTGTTGTGTAGTAGACATTTTATTTCCTACTTTTGTTGATTTATTTTAGATAGTTGATTTTTTTTATCTTAATTGATGTCCTTAAAAACGTAGTTCAAAATACACTGTTACAGATACAATGTAGGATTTTTAATAATTACATCGTTTATTAGTTCTTTCTACATAGATTAAATAATTTATCCCAAATCTAAACTAGGTATAATATGTCCGTTTTTATCTGAGATCAAGCCGAAGCTTTCTATTGTCATTAATTCTAGCGGCTAACTTTCAATTTCTTGCCCAACATAAAGACAAAAATAGTCAGTAAATCTTATTTCTTTATTGTTAACAATTTTCTCTATCAGCTTTGTCTACCAGAGAGAGAAGCTTAACTTATATTGCTTTAAAGTTTAGTCAAACAAAAACCTTCAGTTATTTTTTCCCTGAGACTTGAAGTTTTGAGAGTAAATTAAAAAACTGTGGCAAGTATGAATAGGTATGTCCATACATACATTAGAGTTTTTCAATATTTGCTTATTACACTCTATCTCCCAATGATAAACCAATCTCCCAGTATGACATCACATTTTGCAGTGGTCTTGTAAATTTATCCAGAACTCATTACCAGCTATAAATAGAGTATATCGACAAGGTCATGTGAAAACTGAGATGGATCTATAAAATACCTGTTCACCTTTGTGGGATTCATCTATAGGTGTCCTTTTTATTTTCCTTGTATCAGCATGTGGTGTGCTGTTCTATTTTTGTTCTGCACTGTACATTTTACTTACATACCAGTGTTTAGTTATGAGTACCCAATATTTATTTCAGTTAATTGGTTCTGCCCTGTTTTGTGTAATGTTTGCTTGTCCTTTTTTTATCTGTGTGATGTCTCTTCTCTCCTTCAAAATAGCTTCTGTGTGGTTTAAGTGCTTTACAAACAGCATCTGTCATGTCATTATATTTGGATGTTTGAACGACAATTTTTTTTTTTATGTGACTAGGGTCAATACACACAGATACTACTGGTTGGATTCCTGCTGGTCTGTGTTTTAGTTCACATAACCATAAATGTGCTTGTACATATCACTTGTAAACATGGAAACTGCTTTCTCTTATACTAAAATAGATGTGTTTTGAGGAAAATGACAAATTGGTTCCTGATCTTTTTAGAGTTTCTATTAAAATGAAGTGATACATATAGACAATGGGCAATGTTAAAAGGAGAAGAGATAAAAATGATTAAGATAGTCCCAAGTATTGTTGTGTGTGGAGTGTCAGGAAGTGTCACATCAAATCAGGTTAGGAACTCAAAAGAAAAAAGTTTTAATGATAAAATTTTGGAAAGTAGAACTGCTACTATTTCATTGGCAGAGTAGGTAAACTTTCTTACAGAATTGCAATTAGTTAAGCTTGTGGAAATCTCTTTAAAGAAAATCCTTTTGTTGGATTTTTTAAAATTCAATTAGTTTGAAATAGTTTGCTTTTTATCCATATTTTTATTTCATTGAAGGAATTGAATTTAAAAAAAAAAAACAGCTATTTTTTCAACAGCTGTATTTTCATGTTTTATTTTAAATAATGAAAAATAACATACAAAATATTACATAGTCATGACTTTTAATGTGAATTACATCATTTGTTGATTTTGTTTAAAATGATCAACAGTACTCAGCAATATGAAGAAAAATTCTAGTTTTAACTGCTGATTTTGCATGTGACAACTCTTTTAATAGTATTGGGGTTATTGAGAATACTTTACAGTGATTCAAGCAATGCAATAATCTACATATTAGGTATTTAATGTGGAATTTTATGAAATATATATTGTTGTCACTGATTCCGATATCCTCTGTATCCATGCAGGCATCACAAAATCTGGCCGAAAGTTTACGTGAGAAAGTGGATACAATATCAGCCTGGCAGGACCAAACCGGTCAGACAATTAAAGAGTTGAGTTTAGGAGTACAGCGACTTCCTGAGGAGGTAGGTAGCTGTAGTTTGGTGGGTCTGAATATCACAGAAAACCAAAGTGCTGAACCTAGAAGTACAGTGACTTCCTGAGGAGGTAGGTAGCTATAGTTTGGTGGGTCTGAATACCACAGACAATCAAAGTGCTGAACCTAGAAGTACAGCAACTTCCTGAGGAGGTAGGTAGCTGTAGTTTGGTGGGTCTGAATACCACAGACAATCAAAGTGCTAAACCTAGAAGTACAGTGACTTCCCGAGGAGATAGGTAGCTGTAGTTTGGTGGGTCTGAATACCACAGACAATCAAAGTGCTGAACCTAGAAGTACAGCAACTTCCTGAGGAGGTAGATATGACAGACAATCAAAGTGCTGAATCTAGGAATACAACACCTTCTTGAGGAGGTCTGTTGCCATTGTTCGGTTATTGTCATTACACATAATTCAAGGGAGACAACCCTTTAGAACCAGCATAATCTATCTGATAGTACAGCTGGCAAGATAACTTACAGACTCAAGATCACATGATAACAATGACCAGTTTCTGATGTAGTATTAGGAGAATTTCTATGTGAGCCCCTGGTCACTTTGTTTTTATTATTTACAGATATACAGTATACAGGAAAAACAGACATTGATGAAGTCAGAGTTGAATTCTAGAATGACAGCAGAGGCAGACTCCAGGTAAAGAATTATATAATGTATTTATCATACCATCATACCATTTCATACTGTCATACCGTTACCTCCTTCTGGCTTTATATGTAATCAATTTTAAAGTATGATAAAAAACAAACATTGATCTGAAAACACAACTGATCACAAATATATTGATGTTAAATAACTCTAACACCACCAGTGAGTGACAAAACAAATGATGATCTCCTAAAGACTTATAAATGTTAGAAACACAAAGCTCTATTACAAATTTGTTGTTGTGTTACAGGATAAGAGAAATAGAGAACCTGAAACAGGAAGTACAGATGTTGAAGATGAAGCGAGAACCTAAAGCAGCCACTATATCTGATATAGAAAATGTAAATATTGCACTAAATGGTTACTACTGGTGCTTGGTGTTGTGAGGGTTGGTGTTGTACAAATTATGTGTTTGATTGTTATATAAATACATACATATTGTGATATCTGTATACATTGTCAGGAAAGCGTCATAAGGTTTTATTCTGAAGAAAACAAAATTTGGAAAAAATGGAGAAAAACATAAAAAAAAAAATCAAATTTTAGCATTGAAATTCTCAGCTTGTGTAGGATTATAAAAGTTAGAATAAAACAGTCTAAAAGACATGTAAATATTTACTCCTGTATATTAATTGTTGTCTATGTGTTAGTTTGTATTGATTCTTTGATGTATAAGTGTTAACTTTTTATAAATGTAAGAAAGCTCACACAGTGGTGTGTCTCTAATTCCTAGGAAGTAATGATCTGTCGAGTTTCCCTAATTTTGTCAGATTTGATGTAAAAAATTCTGGTTCTGTTGAAAATTTATCAATAAATGAAAGATTTTTATCAGTGTTAATTATATGAACAAATGTTAATTTTTGAAAATTGTTCAATGTAAAGTATCATTTTAATGCTAATTCTGGTAAAGAGCCTACTAACCAACTTGTACTGTAATTTGGATGTTCCTCTCCAGTTGCTCAAAGCTTCGTCAGAGTTATCCAGTGGTTAGTTAAAATGTTCAAATACAAATTACACACAAAAATTTCCTGCTGTACACAGCTTTGTGAAGACAAATCAGATTGATATTTTGTTTTGTAAGTTCTTTGTTTTGAAGTTGCAACAGTTTGAATTCTTTACCTTTCATCAAGCTTTGAGCAACTGGGACATGGTGTACATGGCCACCCCCAACATTAACTGTATGTACTGAGTAGTTTTAAGTCCATGTGACTGATATGTTTTCTATTTGCTATACAAAGCCACCAGAATCAGGAGGAACTAGTAACACTGAGGTTTGTTTTGTCCCAGTGATAACCATGACAGTGTCACCTGTGGCACGATTAGGTTCAGTGCCAGGTGTCGCTCCTGGGTAGTCTCCAGACTTTTGTTCCTTTTGTAGTTTGAATCTGTTTGAACCTTTGCTTTAATTGTAGTAGTAATAAATGTATAATTTATTGACAGAAAAAGTATGATAATAGAGGCAGTTTTTCTAGCCTTTTGATTTTTATTCATATGGTGTATAACAATGATGGTAAGTTGTCCTATGAGTTTTGATATGGTATCAATAGAAATTAAGGCCTTTCCTTCCTATTTGCTATAAAGTAGAGAACAGTTTGCTGGGGTCATCCATTCCTGGTAGCCGTATATCAAGACATGTTTTCCCATTACTATTGAAGATACATGTAAAAACTACAAGCAATTATTAAAATGACTTATTTAGCGTGAAAGCATTTCAAATATTCAAAGAAATTTTCCATTGCTGATGGCGTCTTCTACATATTTACTGTATTACAAGATAATAATCGATTTTCCTAGCTCATCTGTTTAAAAATGCAAAACATGTCTTAACATCAGCATGTGTGAAATTAGTTTGAAGCGATATTTGTAATATTAGTGTAGTTGATAATGTCATTGTAGAGAACGATTTATAAAATGCTATGGTTTATCTTGTGTTCAAAAGGGACTGAAGTGTTTCATTTGTCTTTTTAAATTCTGTTCAATATAGATTATACTGAATTTATTAAGTAGAATTCGTAATGTAATAAATTAATACTGGAAATTCTGGTAAACAGTGTTCAGTATTTTATTCTTTATTTTTTCTGTAAAATTAAAATTTTTTCCTATCTAATTTTGTTTTTCAGACATTAAAAGACTTGTTATTATCATATCATTATATGGATGTCCATTTGTGTTGACAGGTACAAGCCAGTGTTCGTCGTTTGGCAGATTCAATCCAAACAGTGAAGACAGTTCTTGGCATGAAGATACAATCAGAACAAAAACTGGTAGGTTATCTCCCCTGGCACTGGCTCCTAAAACACAATATACTGCATGTATGCTCTGTCATTGTCATTATTCTATGCAACAGAAAATGAAACTCATTTTTACACCAGTGTTAAGCTTTGTTCACCTGATCTATATACCTGAAGTTTGCTATGTAAGGGCACCATCCAATGAAGATTTATCATCACTTGAATAATTGTGAAAGTAGGAAAATACAAGAACTAATGGATATCTACAAAATTTAAGACCCTTAACCAGCCAGTCCAGTTGTATTCATATCATCTTCAAAAAAATTATCACTGTAAATCATGTACCACCTCAAAGAAAAAGATCAACTTTGATAAAAAGACAGAAAAAGTTTTTTTTTCTTTCATCTTAGAGGAAGATAATTTGATAAATAAATCAACAAAACAAGAAATCTATTGTTTTTAATGGTTATGACTGATGGAAGTGTACCCTTTACCTTACGCAAATAAGATACTGATTTGGTGAGATTTTAGTACATGTTGACATTATGGTGAAGATTCGTGACCATTTTCTTCTAGAGTTTGAAGTCTTTCGAGATGTTTAACTTGGTATAAGATACATGAAGAATTGTGTTTAAGTTTTCATGTTAAGGTATTGCAGTCAAATAAATATCGTTGGTAATTATGTAGGTTTTCGTTGTTCCATGTACGGCTTATAATGACATCCCAGTGGCAGAGAGTGTTATAATATCCTTTTCTAGGTATGGTATCTATGTAGAGTATTCCATGATAGAAATCCCAGGAACTTTTTCCTTTAATATACATATTTATCTATGTAATACCATATATGGTAGTTGACATATCCTGAGCTTTTCCCCCATGTTGATATATATGTATCTATATATAGCTCTATATAAAGTAGCAGGCATCCCAAAAGCTGATTGGTTAGAAGTACAGTAAATGTATAAAAGTAAAAATTTTCTTTTTAAATTCAAGGAGGATGAGTGAATTTCAAAATCAATGGATTAATTATCATGATCTGCCTTAAAACATAAAGGCAATCATTTTAGTCAGTAAATATCTAGTATATGTAACTGTTAGTGTCACACTTTGGAGGGTACTTTGCTTCACTAGTCTGCACCACAATGAATTAACCAGGCTTTAGCTTTCTCCTCAATTTTCCCCTGTACAGGTATAAAACTGTTTATACATGTAGTTAACATTTACATACTGTCTTTTTGAGACATATGACATGTTTTATATCATTTAGAAGAGACTGAAGGATATTATACAACTAAGCAAATAATATTAAAGTAAAATAACTGAAAACAATATGAAATTATTTATGCTATGATAAGCATGATTTCTGAATTATTACATTGATGTTCTCTGTTGTTGTTGATATTTAGCCAAGGAAGGTTAGTTTGTGCATGATAAGTCTGCTGATGTTATGCTATTTCAATATATTGTGCTTTTTAATTTTTTTATCTTATTGAAGCCAAAATGCTAATCATACATTCTTTAATGGATTTTATCAAAAATTGAATGTAATGATGTTTTGCCATTTAATGATCATTATGCTGATATCTGTGCTAAAACTTACAGAGAATTGATGGTTTGGAAGACCTCCAAACTCAAATACAGCAAATAAAAGTGAATGCAGGGATGCCTAGTTACCGTGGTCACCCAGAGTACCTTCAGGGTGATATGGGCTATAACTGGGATGACCAGGACAATCAGTATGGCTATGGGAGTAAGGGAGGTTACCAGGACCATCCCAGTAGTCAGTATGGTTATGCTGGCAGGGGTAAAGGTGGTTATGCACAGGATGATGAGAATCACCCAACAGATCGATCTGACATGAAGACGAGAGGAGGAACGCGTGACTTTGATACAGGTTATGGGACAGCAACAGACAATGGTTATGGCACAGCGACTGGAACAGGATACGGGACAGCTACAGACACACAGATGGGTATGATACCAGAGGATAAGGAGTCGTACAATAAAAGTCCTGTGCCTAGTACAGGCAGCGCTGAACAGTACAATGGGAAAACAACTCCCAAACAATCGAAAACTGCACAAGGTGGTGTCTCACCCACCAATGGTGTTAACTCAAATCCTCCGTCCCAGAGAAATACGCCCAACCGCAGTCGTAATAACACTCCAGGAGGGACAAAAGCCAAAACACCTTCACAAAGTCGTACAAACACTCCAGGAGGAACTAGTGTTAAGGGTAAAACAAACAACAAGTCTCGACGAAACAGTCAGGACTCTACAGCCACAGAGACCGCGAGGGGACCCGGTCTGGCAGAGGTGTAGAAGACGATGTAACAGTTGGTAGGTTAGAAATACCCAGACTGGGTCATATACACAACTGACAACCTGTCACCCTCTAACACTTCAGCTTCAACTAGCTGCTACGATTGAAGCTAGGCTTGACAAGATTATTCGCTTATACTAACTGCAAAATTACAATGCATGCAAGGCTCCTTACAGGAACATTGTTTGAACCATGTTGCAAGCTCACCTAAGACAATTTTTCCATGACTATTTTGATGGGGGGAGGGGAAATCACTCAGATATTCATTTTCATTTGAAATGAAAAAGAAAAAAATCTGAAATAAAAAAAAGAAATATCAGTGTAGAAATGACTTCCAGATTGCAAAATGGTCCATACTTATGTATTGTATGAGATGCTAATCTAAACTTACTCACTTACTAATCTGTTTCAGTGCTAATTGTAGTTAAGGTGGCTGTTCTTTTTACTAACTGACTTGTTTTCAGGCTCAAATAACAAAGCAATTAAATAATTCCATTTGTTCAAGACAAATTGCATTCAAACGAGTCCCAGTTTGATCTTGTTGGTTAAGTCTAGTATTAGACAATATGCACTCCATGGTTGTGTAAAGAACATATAAATGATGCGAAAATTATGTACCAATACCAATTAAAAGTGTATATTGAGAGACTGTTTTTACTGCAGTCAGTAGACATTCTTGGACAAGTGGAAGTATTTTTTACATTTTTTCAGCTTCAGCATTCTGCAAGTTTTTGGCATTAGGCCTTGGAGCCTGGGAATTAACACTTTACCTTAATTTTACTTTTAAACAATTGGTTTTGTTATATTTAGCGTACAGAAGATGTTGAGAAGTTGCAGAAGGAGATTTCAATTTTAAGGACAGCAATTGAGCCACTTGTTAGAAAGCCTCTGCCGCGCTCCTTTGTAAAGGACTCGGCAAGTGGCAGTAGAGCTGACGATGCTACCCCTGAGGTTAACAAGTGGAGTGTACCCAACGCCTACAAGTAAGTCTGGTGGTGTATGTTAAGAAGGATGTATTGACAGGAACAGCCCCTCACAGAGTATATTATTATGTAGTTATGATGGGTTGGATAAAACACTCAGAGATATTTAGGTTAAAAAATGAGAATTTGTTGATTTTCAACCGAAGGGTAAACTATTTATCAATGTGCCACATAAATGTAGTCCTTGGCTTTATCTTTTTCTCCCATCTCTATACACAAGTTTGGTAAGATGTGACATCAACAATGCTTATGAAAAAGTTCATATAGCAAAATTTCTTAGGCATTGAAACATTAGCATTATATACCTCAGATTTAAATTGGAACCATGCAAGACTTTCATGACAAAAAGCATGCAGTTTCTATAACACGCCATGTAAAATATTCATTGGCAGCTAGTGTTTTGTCACTGGGTGCATCTTTGTGAGATACAGCTATCTTACACTTGTTGAGGTTGGGAGAAAATGATTTTGTCACAATTTTATCTACAAGTTATTTAAGAACAGCTTTAAACTTACGTCCTACAGTTTCCCATTATCCTTCAGCTACGACTAGCTAGTAACATTCAACACACATCAAAGATTACATGTCTAGACAACACCAATATTTTGTCCAATAAAGTCAAAAGTAACCAGCAAACCAAGCACCAAGACTTGTCAAATAGAACCACAGGTAACAAGCAAACAAAACACCAAGACTTGTCAAATAGAACCACAGGTAACCAGCAAACCAAACACCAAGACTTGTCAAATAGAACCACAGGTAACCAGCAAACCAAACACCAAGACTTGTCAAATAGAACCACAGGTTACCAGCAAACCAAACACCAAAACTTGTCAAATAGAACCACAGGTAACCAGCAAACCAAACACCAAGACTTGTCAAATAGAACCACAGGTAACCAGCAAACCAAACACCAAGACTTGTCAAATAGAACCACAGGTAACTAGCAAACCAAACACCAAGACTTTGTCCAATAGAACCAAATGTAGCCAGTGTCACCAACACTATGCCTTTGTCTTACAGAGCAACAATATACAAACTTAAAACTTGTATCACCAACACCATGTACTATTTGCTATTTTAGTCCATCAGTTGTGTGTATTACAAAATTCTGATAGATGTATGTAAAGATATTGTAAAGTAAAACATTGATGTTGTTGTTAACACAAAAAAAAAAGATGTGAAAGTCATGACATTTTAAAACATTTGTAAAATACTTTGTTGCTTAGGAAAGAATTTAACAATGATGTTACCAAACTGATTTGTTTTCCTTATTTCTGTTTAAGTGATAGTTAGCGAGTTTACAGGTATGACTTTAAAGGTTTGATCCACTTGATGTCCTGTAAATCTGTCTCACTGCTGTTGTACAGTAGTCATACAATCTCAATGTTGTCACACAGCTCCCATCTGGCATACAGTTTCACTGCTGTCGTACAGTCTCGATGTTGTCGTACAGTCTCACTGCTGTCGTACAGTCTCACTGCTGTCGTACAGCCTTGCTGCTGTCATACAATCTCAATGTTGTCATACAGTCTCACTGCTGTCGTACAGTCTAAATGTTGTTGTGGTTGTCGTGCAATCTCATTGCAGTTTGCTGTCAGTGTAGTAACATTTCATTAGTCTCTACTAAAAAGAACAAGTGTACAGTGAAACTAAAGTGGATGGTTAGTAACATGTCCAATGTACTAAAAGCATAAAACATCATGGAATAAACTACAAAATGATGCCAAATAGTTCAGGAAAACCAGAGTTTGAAGAGGCAAGTGGCAGAGTGGAGCATCACTCTTGCACAACTAAAAAGTCATAGCAGAAGACGCAGGAAAACAACACTGAAAGAAATTAGATAATTAAAAGCAAAGATTATAGGGAAAATATACTTAAGTAAATTGATAATATATACTGGTAACCTTTTAGCATTATACACAGTATACCTCAGAAATTTTATCATAAATACCGACAACCTTTTAGCAGTAGACCTCAATATTTTTATCATACATACCGATAGCTTTACACTGTGCAGTATATTTTATCATACATATGGCAACCTTTAAACATTATACACTTGTCATATAATGTTATGTTACCTGGTATATCTAATTGTTGTGTCTGTATTGGAATGTTGATGATATGATATAATTGTAAGATATTGTGTCTGTTAAGTGTTTTGTGACGGTGAAATGGTTATATATGTTGTAGGTATAGATGTAGGTTTTCAACATCCTTTGATTTTAGACCAAGGTTCTCACAATTCAATTTGAAATTGAAACATATATCATATACTTTCATGATGCTCAGTTTTCATGGTTTATGGAAACATTACTATTTCCCTGACTCTTCATTTTGTGGATAAATAAAGATAAAAATAGATCTGCTGACACTTATCTTGACAGCTCCTGTAATTAATTTATTAATTAAGAGTACCCATGAAATCCACAAAATAGGTATAACAGGAATATTAATGATATTCACAGAAGTCTGTATCTTACCCACTTTTAACTCAGATGAAAAGGAATGTTTTGGTTGTAACTGAACAATCTTTTCCTGTGTGATGTATATGCACATAAACTGAATTTTGGCAATACATATTTATACATACTGATGTTCTCGTTCCGTTAAAAAAAAGAGAACAAAGACCAATAAAGCTAAACCTAAAAACTCAATATCTGTATATGTATGTATAATATTGGTATATTGGATGTACTCTCTACATCAGAAACAAGTTTAAATACTTTTCAGATAAACAATTATCTTATGCATGGTGTCAATACATGAGATATCTGTCAGAAGAATACTTGTGGTGAGGATCAATTGGCCTTTCAATTAAGTCTGATAACGAGGCATCAAAATATATATAAATTAACAAAAATACAGTAAGAACATGGTATTCTGATGGTTATACACACTCAGGAAAAACAAGATCAGTCGACTAGGTTTTTTGGTCTCTTGATCTGTTGTGGATCTGCTGTATGGAAGGAAATAAGAAGATACAGAATCACATTGGGCTGTAATCAATTGTTCTGATTTAAGTTATGTTTTAGAATAAATCCTAATTTTGATTTGATTTCAGATTTTCTTTTCATTTATTCTATCTATACAATTTAATTTGTAGAATTTCATTTTTCAGTTCAGTGATTTTAAATTAGATTGTTGTGAGCATGGTGACTATGACAGAAAAATGACAAGATCTGAAATTAGGGTTCTGTGTCATCTGTAGACACTTTTAAAAATATTCTGTATAGGTTTGATTAAAGAAAGAAACATGGTAGTATGTCAGCATATATATACTGGCCAACATACATGTATTTACTGAAATTAGTGTATAGTCATCATCTACTAATAGATAAAAATCATTGTTCATTGGCAATGAAAGTAGAAATAGAATTTTAATTGTAGTCTTTAAAATTTTGAAAAAAAAAGTTGAAGACCCATTGAAAATACTTGATACAACAACAAAGTGTTGCACAAAATATGTGAGAAAATTTGTACACTTAATCTTGTCATTTTTCATGGTCAAGTATCAAATTGTGTTTGTAGGTTTTTGATTTGCCACACCCACCTGTATGAATGCTATCACTCATGCATGTGTGCCACACACACATACCATATATTTCATATAATCATGTTGTTCCATTTAGATCAGCTCATTAAGGGGAGATAATTTTGCTTTAGTATTAAAAAATCTTCTTAAATTTGTAAACATATTTTTTATCGTTAAATGGTTCTTGTAAATCTATATTGGGTAAAGAGTTTGACAACACATGGAACAATAAGGTTTGGTTTTATATGTACGCTTTTTCCTGTTCATGTGAATGCTTATCTGTTTTTGTAGAATATGTATAAATGATATCACTGTTTATTCTGTTTGTTCACTCTATTACTTTAATTGTTATACATGATAATTAGTAGACACTGTCAATTATAATTTTGGTGTCTATTTAATACCGAACTTAATCATTAATTTTATTAATCAATAACAATTTCTAAAAGAGTTGTGTTAAATTTTTCCAAGTCTCAGATTTAGCTTATATTAACCTCTGTATATAACACTTGATGTAATTTCAAAAAGTTAACCTATTGTAAAAATTTCAAAATGAATAGAGATACCACACATTTTTATAGACATATGTATATCTATGGGAGATATCGCAGATCTCAATCTAAAATATTTAGAGCTATATGTACTAATTTATATAGAGAGGTTAATTTATTACGAAGCTGAAACCTTGTGAAGTGTTTCAATAACTTTCCATTATAATAATTAACAGGGACTTCAGAAGAATATCACCATTGTCCTTATGTATATGTCAGAAGCTCTATAAGGAAATTGTGACAGAAAAAAGAAAGGAAAATCAACATTCAATATTTAATGAAAATAATACTACAGACTATCATAATAAATTTGGTTAATTGACAATGAAATTTTAAGATCTAAACGAATGTAATTATGAAAAGAAAAAATAAGAATATGTCACATTAAGGAAGCATGATTCAGTTTTTCTTGAAAGTTTTTATCTGTTTTTGTCTCAATTTTTATTTGTTTTTATCAGTAGAAATTTTCATGTGTGTATTTTATTTATTTTTTGTTCACAGATGGTCTGTATGGAAAGCTAAATGGATGTATATCTTGTGGCAAATACGTGCCAGAAAAAAAAACTCTAGTCTTGGAGTTTATCGTCCCAAGAATCCAAGACCTCTTTCTAACTCATCAGAGAGGTCTGACACAGGGGAGACAACCTCTAGAAGCTAGTTCCACAATTCCCCGTGTGAAGTGGGTTGTCAGGTCTCTGTTGAATTTTGATCGGTTAGAAGTACACTGGTTACAAGGTCACCATCAATATTCAGTTTCTAAAACAAAGCTTGATCATCAGTTGAACTGTTAAGTTACATAGTGTCAAATATTTTTCGGAAAGTGATGTGGAAAAAATGAGGTCATTTTTTTGTGTAAATATTATGCCATGTATATCAGATGTAAATTAATTGGTACTAATGATAAGCATATATAGTGCTCATATTACCCAGATCCTACCAGGAGAACAAGTGTTTCTGAGTAGTCTAATTTTATCTGAAAAAGTTACATTTTTCAAACTGGATATTTTTCATAAGTGGATCTCACAATACATGTATTGAATCTTCGATGAATAGATAAATTTTTAGTTGCAATGTTGAAATTTATTGGGAATTTGGGGTCAGTAGCGTTAATTTCAGTTCCTAAACATGTTAACACTGTGGAAATATTTTGCTTGTAAATTAGTATCCTAATTACTCTAGTTGAAATCTAGTCCTTTTTCCCCCTCTCCCCCCTACCCCCATGTTGTACAGGATGTTTAATAATTATGTTCTGTAATCTCTTGCTTAGTCTACTTTAAACTATTGTGACAAAAAGCTGTGAACTGCTGATTATATTGGTAAAATATTTAACATGAATTTCAACATTCTCAAAGCTGAACATCAATGTTTGTATTGTTTTCTGTTACAAATAATGGGCCTGATTGATATCCAAATATACTCATGTTACCCATTGTAGTCCCATAATTATTGAAATCTCTTATTATAACTTTATGAATCTATTTACAGTGTGACATCATATCTGATCCTTGTTGAGTGCTCGGCAAGCTGTGCTATAGAAATTTTACTCTTTATTGAAAATAATAATTCAGAATGAAAGTTTTTTTTTTTTATGAATCTCTGCAAGTTGGCATTTGGCCTAATGGTATTTATAGATATTTATCAATTCATTTCTCCTCCTTAGTTATACATCTTACTGCTGAACCATTGACCCTGTATATGTGTCTTACTTCTCTATTGCGAGTTTGATTTCTTGGTTCTTAACACCGGTTACCCTGGTGGTTTGTTAGTTGTAGTGGAGACCTAAGTTACACACTATGTACTCGTAGGTCTTAGTTTTGTACAAATATTTTGTTATCTTTAGTAGAACCAGGAATTTATTTACTCCGTCCAACTAGTTTTTTAGTTTATCATGCACTGTTTTAACCAAAGCTGTATTGTGATAAATAATAGGCCATTTCTGACTTCCATTGTGCATATGTCAATGGCTCAGAAATGGAGAAGCCATAGAGTGAGTAGGGAAAATGATGCAGATATGGATGTTATGGAGAGAGAATGTGTGTGAAAGGTATATACAAGGAGAAATTAAATCTCATCATCCAGCATTTTTTAATACATTAGCATGATGTAGACACCAAAATCTCCAACAGATTTCAGAATTTGTGACATTTTTTTCATTAGACAATTTTTCATTTCCAAATTTACAAAAATCATCATTTGGTAAAAATAAATTATGAAAGTAAAGAGGAATTTTTCATTCAACCCTTCTTTGAATTGATCAAATCTGTCAGGTTATTATTTTAAAAATTCTGTTCTGTATTATAAGACTGTATGAATGAAAATAACAAATTCTGATGTGATAGTCTACAGAATCTAATGCATTATATGCCATTATTACATTTTGTTGTCCATTGTTGATAGGAATTTTTTAATGTTATTTGTAAATATTTTATTATGAATTTTTTGAAAAATCAAATTAATAGCGACTCATGAAACACTAAGCAAATGACCTGCCTTGTTTTGTCACAATGATGTGCCTCTCTGTCCTGTCAAATGTCTCTGTTGTGTAATAAAACTCCGAAGTGACAGTGTTGTGAAATACAACTCTGATGTGACATTGTGCTACATAGTACGTCTCTAATGTGACACTGTGTTGTGTAATGAACTTTGATGTAACATTATATTGTGTAACACATCTTGAACATATGACACTTCTGTTGTGTAATACATTTCTAACACGACATTGTGTAATACAACACTGGTGTGGCATTGTTTTCATGACATTTTGTTGTGAAACAACACTGATGTGGCAGCAGGATGTTGTATAACACTGTTGTGACAAGGAGTAATGGTATATTAACCTATTCTGACACTGTGTTGTGTTATGCATGTGTTGTGAAAGTGTGTTGCACTAACAACTCCAATGTGACATCATATTGCATCATACAGTTCTGATGTGACAAAGAGTTGTGCTGTTAAAAATGCTATGTTGTGTTTCTACAACTCAGGTACTTTATGTTACAGTTTGTCAGATTCATCAGTATGTAAAATACACAGTAGGAAGAACGGATTTATATTTGTAAAAATATTAATAAAATCCGTGACAACATCCAAGCAGTGAAAGGAAAATAAATACCATGTAAACATGAAGGTTTGCTGACTGTTAGGATGACATACAGCTTTCAGTTTGCCTCTCTGGTCTTCCATTAAGTGATATTAAAGATTCTATAGTGTTTCAGGTGATTATAAGTCCTGATCTTATGATCATGTTCAATTTCATTAGCTTTGAAACATAAGCTTTGTTTTGCAATGAAAACCACCAGTTTTTTTTTAAAACTATATCAAAAATGAATGCATTGAAGTGATGTTGAAGAGATATGCAAATGATTTAACATTTGCAACGGGTCTTAAATGAAAGGATAAGAGGGCTATATACATATGTCTTGCCACCATCTATTATTAGGCCTCAGTTGAGCAAGAGAGAAGGGGCATATAGAAGAGGGAGTTAGGCTATAGTCACCTTGTGTGGTAATATCTCCCAGAGTGCACTGCAGTATCCTAATAACACTTTGGTGTATTGTGACCGTAAAGGAATGACGACTCTGGTACAGATTGCTTGTGTAGAGCACTGGTTTGTGGTGATAGTTGCCAGCGTTATGAGAACGTATGGAAGCCATCCTACCAATATCTACATAGGTCCACTTTATCTTTCATTTTTGATTAGTGATATATTTTTGTACATTTCTTGAATACATACTGTATGCATATTTGTCTTTTATTTTGTCTTGTCCTTTCAAAATGTCTTACTATTATCAGTAGGTGCATATTTAAATAGAAGAGAAATAAACAAAAATCAAATTTGTCATTGTATTCCTTAGGAGATATAAGGATGCAGTATATTGATTTATTTCAATAAAACTATTAGATAAAATTTGGTGTTTCTTATAGTTTTAAACCAGACTAAATATGTGTAATTATGGGTGATCACCATGGTCTATATCTGTGAGCAAAATCCATCTCTCTTCCTTGTCAACTGTCTTCACTCTCTAAGCCTTTTTTAGGTCATCTGACTAAAGGGTCAAGATGACCTATTTCTATCATGCATCGTACATCCTCTTGCACAAACTTTTCCTTTAAAACACCCCTGCTCAACACCTTGATGGATTTCATTCCAAAAGGGGAATTTAGACAATAATTTGTTTCAAAACGCTACTCCATCCCTTGGAGCACAGACACCCTTCTCATGATGTTATCCTTTCTTTGTCTACATCCCTGGAGTGCAGACAACTTTCTCCTACTGGTACCCTTTCGTTGTCTACATCCCTGGAGTGCAGACAACTTTCTCCTACTGGTATCCTTTCTCTGTTTCTATTCCTTGGAGCTCAGACAACCTTCTCCTACTGGTATCCTTTCCTTGTCTACATACCACAGAGCTCAGACATCCTTCTCCTACTGGTATCCTTTCTCTGTCTCCATCCCTCGAGTACAGACAATCTTCTGCTGGTATCCTTTCTCTGGCTCCATCCCTCGGGTACAGACAATCTTCTCCTACTGGTATTCTTTCTCTGTCTCCATCCCTTGGAGCTCAAGACAACTTTCTCCTACTACTATCCTTTCTCTGTTTCTATTCCTTGGAGCTCAGACAACCTTCTCCTACTGGTATCCTTTCTTTGTCTACATACCACAGAGCTCAGACAACCTTCTCCTACTGGTATCCTTTCTCTGTCTCCATCCCTCGAGTACAGACAATCTTCTCCTGCTGGTATCCTTTCTCTGGCTCCATCCCTCGGGTACAGACAACCATCTCCTACTGGTATCCTTTCTCTGTCTCCATCCCTTGGAGCTCAAGACAACTTTCTCCTACTGGTATCCTTTCTCTGTCTCCATCCCTCAGAGCACAGACAACCTTCTCCTACTGGTATCCTTTCTTTGTCTACATCCCTGGAGTGCAGACAACCTTCTCCTACTGGTATCCTTTCACTGTCTCTATCCCTTAGAGCACAGACAACCCTCTCCTACTGGTATCCTTTCTCTGTCTCCCTCCCTTGAGTGCAGAAAACCTTCTCCTGGTATGTTTTCTCTGTCTCCATCCCTCAGAGCACAGACAACCTTCTCCTACTGGTATCCTTTCTTTGTCTACATCCCTGGAGTGCAGACAACCTTCTCCTACTGGTATCCTTTCTCTGTCTCCCTCCCTTGAGTGCAGAAAAACCTTCTCCTGGTATGTTTTCTCTGTCTCCATCCCTTAGAGCACAGACAACCTTCTCCTACTGGTATCCTTTCTTTGTCTCCATACCACAGAGCACAGACAACCTTCTCCTACTGGTATCTTTTCTCTGTCTCCATCCCTTAGAGCACAGACAATCTTCTCCTGGTATGTTTTCTCTGTCTCCATCCCTTAGAGCACAGACAACCTTCTCCTACTGGTATCCATTCTTTGTCTCCATACCACAGAGCAGTGACAACCTTCTCTTAGTGGTATCCTTTCTCTGTCTCCCTCCCTTGAGTGCAGAAAACCTTCTCCTGGTATGTTTTCTCTGTCTCTATCCCTCAGAACACAGACAACCTTCTCCTGGTATCCTTTCTCTATCTTCATCCCTTAGAGCACAAACAACCTTCTCCTACTGGTACATCCCATGAGAGTAGACAACCCTCTACTGGAATCCTTTCTCTGTCTCCCTCCTTTCAGCGCAGACCAATTTATACCTTTTTCTATCTCCACACCTTGAACGCACACAACCTATAGGTATCATTTCTGTCTTCATCTTGTGGTCCAAAGACAAGTTATCTTAC